ATGTACAACTCAAAAAAAAACTATTCATTATTTTACTTCGTGCCTATGGAGACTTTTGATCAGGACGATCAAAACTACAACATATTACAAATTCAGCCAAATTAGCCAGGACTCATTTTCCCTATGTTTTGTGCGAGGTCCTTTCCAAGTTGTATGAACCTACTTTTTCATCTATATTTATCTTTTGTATCTATATTTACCTTTTTCATTATACGCTTATTAATTTTACTTTTATTTTCCACATTAAGTGGTCTATTACACTTTTAGATATCAAAGGATCCAATCCCTTGAGTTAAATAACATTTTGTTATTTTCAATTTTCATATGTGTCAAAATGTAAATCAATTCCTTTCTGTAATTAGCTTTAATGTAAACAACGTATTTATATTAATACGTATTTATAACGTGCATAGTAAAGAAACTAATTTTAAGTCAAATTTAGTACATTTTCTTCAGTTAAATTATTTACCTAATACCATTGGTTTATTTAAATTAAATAGGAACGATTACATTGAATAGGAACGATATTGAATAGGAGTGATGAGCTGCATAGAAATGGTTAAAAATAATTCAAATTGGATATAATTTGACATAGTAAATTTAAGTGTAGAAAGGAATAAAATAATTTGAAGAATTATTGAAAGAATAATCGAAAATTTTAATTCTCATTTTTCTCCTCATTTTTCTGGATGGAAGCTTAAATTAATGGGCGGATAATTATCACGTATAAATAATTATACACGTTTGCAAGATCGCTTTTCGCATCAATTAGAGAAGCATCTCGCGATAACGTCGAATAGATTTATCGCGCACGATAATCATATATGGAAATGTTGCAGTTCGTAGAATAGCTGGGCTTCAATACTTGGTGCTGATTCACTGCTTCATTCGCGTTTATTCGGTGCCCCTTCGTACGCTCGCTCTCGTGTTGCACTTTCATTTCAAGCCCTCTCGTCGTGACTTCGATATTGCGGGATCATCGGTCGGTCGGGCGAGAGATACATTAAAGGCGTGGGAAACTATCCGCGGCGAAACATTGCTTAACTCCTCGTTTTTTTCGCCGTCGGTCAAATAAACGTGGCTTCTCCAGTGCATAGACAAGATGCTTGGCAAATTATGAACAAGCGCGATATGAGTTACGATATCGTTTAATTGTGAACGGACATGATTATAGTTTCAACACAGGCTATCGCAGGTCGATAAGAATTCGTAAATGTTAAAATGTTACGTAAATATTAATTCGCTAATATATAGTAGCTGTCAATGAGTAATTTTATTGAGAATTACTTATCAGATAAGAATTTTTACAGATTATAGATTTAATATACAAGTATTGAATATAATGAGTTTGGAGCACTACTTCGAACTTCAAAATTCAAACAATTATAACATGATTAAAAATTAATGAAATTTAAATTAAAAAAGAGAGTTTTAAAGCTTAATAAAATCTCTACTTTCAAGAAGTCACTATGCCTCTTGAGTTTTTATGAGTTTGATAATTTTAACATATAGGAAATTAAAGCTAGACAAAATGGGAAATTTAAAGTTTTTCCTACAAATTTTTTTTTAATCGTTTTTTTTTTAATATTTCTAAGATTTGTTGTTATCGCGGGTTAAATAGGAGCATTTTGATTTTGATTGCTCGCAACTTTGTTAAAAATCATTGCATCACAATTCAAAAAACGGATTCTTAAAGCTGAAACGTTACTCTATCGAATGATATAATTGGCAATTTTTTTAAAAGAACATATGCATACACATTACAAATGAAGTAATATTATAAATTTTTGTTCCAATTCACTATTACACATACATTCTAATATTTAATAGTATTCTATCAGTATAAGTTAATAAAATTCTTGTTATAATCAATTTAAAATATTACATTTTTAAATTGATTATAACAAGAATTTTATTAACTTATACTGATAGATTTTGTTGAAGTATCTAAAATTTAGCAAGATATAGATCTGAAAATAATTTTATTGAGCTATCAAAATAATTATGCGGGACGTTCAAATTGTTGCTAGAATGTTAAAACTTTGCAGCATTGTTCATGCTTGAGATTCCTACATAATTATTTTATGGTCTAACAAAATTATTTTCAGATCTGTATCTAATTAAATTTTCAGATAGTTTCGCATTCTTTCCGTGTATAAATTGAAAAATAGATCGACAAAAATGGCTATAAAATTATCCGTTGGCAGGAAATTTTTGGAAGCCACTGTATATTAAATACATATAGATTTTTTTATGGATAAGCTTGTACATTTATTATCATGTTTTATTGATATTTTATGCAGAATATTACATGCAGGATCATTTTTACCGTATTGTCGGTTCTTGCCCAATTTGAAGTAAATTTTTTTTTTAGAAAAAATGCCTCTAATTTATCTGAAAATTTCTGCTTGATCAAGCGATATTTGAAAGAAAACGATGTTTTGCATCTTAATGTACACCCATAGCAACTGTATATCAAGTTCATAACCGACGAATAATATGGACCACCGTGTCAATAACGTGACACGAATATTGTCACGTTTGGAACCGCATGATAACGCGATTGTTAACTTTGTTATGTGGTATCGCCGTCCTTCTGATGTAGATCGCTACTTTCGTTAATCAATCGCGATTGATGGATGTCGCATAGATTGCCGTCGTTCACTTCGTCGTCGTCGTCGTCGTGTGGCGATTGACTTCATCGTCATGTTAGCTTCATTATCATGCCAGGTTAAGTTTCGGCGATACATGCAGGTCAGAGTCACCATCGTGCCCCGGTGATCGATAGCATCGGATATTCCTATTTTTAGGCACAGATAAGATGAAGAAAGCTTCAAATATCGAATTTTTACCTGTTCTTAGACAATACATATTTTAGGATAGAATTATATAATTAATAAGGCAGATTGATTCATTGTAATCATTGTATTAAACTTATATTATTATAATAAGACAGAATATCTCATTTTATATGTCGTAAATACAATCCGTATTTTAGAGTAGAATAATTGTATAATTAATAAGATAGATCATCTCATTTTACATGTTGTATACAATTATAAATATAATTATAAATTAAAAGGAAATTTTACATTACACTAATTCAGATGTGCGATCAAAATATAGTGTTTTTCTTTGATTCTTTATTTTTAAGTCCTCTATGGGTTATCGTGCTTTATCATGCTGGGTCACGCCTGTACATGACAATTTAATGGAATTATATTATGAATAAAAGATATTAAATTCTTTTGTTAATTATTGTAATTCTTCCACGCTTATCAAGCGTGTTATTTATTTTTGAGATTAATTGCTGCGGCAATAAGCTACAATTGTAATTAATAATAAAGATCGTGGATTGTGATTATTAAATCGCTTGGTTTGCTACGCATATGTTGATAAAATGCAAAGTATGAAGAATGACAACGAGAATTATGCTGAATCATACGAATCTTTTGAATCATCTTTGAATATCTGAATCATCCGAGTACTAAAAAATGCAGCTAGATATTCCATCTTTTTTAAAAAAAGGTTTACCTGGAATCGTGTTGATATCTTGCGATCATGAATGCTGCGATCATGAATTAAGGATGTATTTTTTGATGAAATGAAAAAATTATTCAAAAATCACCCATTTTTCTGTATTATATTTGTGAAAGTGAGAAGTTTGACAGCGATTTAGAATCTGAATTAAAAATTATTCCAACAGGAAGTTTATTAAAAAATAAGTTATGTAAATTAGAAAATTTTTATTTCAATTATTATATAAAATTGTATTGTTATATATTCATTAAAAATAAATGCTAATATTTTTTTCATTAATCTGAAATTCTTTTACTTATATTGTTTCTTATTAATTACCGACATACATAAGTTTAACGGATTCTTGAAATAAAAGATCGTTCACAGCAAATGCTATATCTATTTTTAAACTAAAATATTAAATAATAAAACACAATTAAAATTGCTAAAATAATTGAAATTATCCCGCCGCATATTTTCTTTCTTTCATTTTCGAGTTACTGAATCGGTTGGACCATTTCACCATAGCATCCGTCTGCATTGAATCTTTTATTTGCCATATATTTTTTTGTTCACCTTACGCTCAAAATTCAAACTGAATCGGGATAAAAGGCAGTCGATGATTCTAATTAATGACTTAATTACACTTAATGTGTTACGCTAGGCAGCTGTTTTGTTGTATTCGCGATTCAAGATTAATTTGCTTTTACCTCGTACTTTCACGTATATAATTGTCGAATGTTTCCATATTGTATTAACGGACATGTATACATTGTTAAATATCAAAGGAACAAGGCTAACGCAATCTCTTGAATTAAATTATATTTTGTTATTTCATGTATAGCAAAATGTAAATTAATTAATTTCTTTGGTTGAATTGCTTAATTTCAAAGTAAATGTTATTAATGTATGTACTTACTAAAAATAACAAACTAAATTTGGATTAATACATTTTTACTAGTTAATTGTTTAACTCCATTATTTTAATTAAGATGATAATTTTGATGGCATATTGAATAGGAGCAGTGACAATCTAAAAAAAATTATTAAAAATTACTCAATTTTTGGTAGAAACGTATTTATAAATGTAAATTTATAATTTCAAATTGAATATAATGAATGTATTAAACATTATGAATTTAACAGTGTAGAGAAGAGGTACATGTCTATCATAATCGTGACTTGAAATCCGAGGTAAGGGGAAATGACGCGTTTACGAGAGATTCTCACAATACGATAGCGTTGTCGTCAGTGATGGCTATGAATCATACATATGTAAATTACGTTGTAATCTTATAAGGTGGAGGTCAGTGCCTCTCATTATGGCTTGTACTGGACGCGAAGTTTCGCACCGTATCTGCATGTCGTTTCCTTTCGAAGTTGAAATCACACACACGGAAATCGCATCCTTATCTCCGGAAATAATACTTTTAAGATGGACTTGGATTCACCAAAAGTAAACTCTTTCTCTTTTGTTTCAGATTTAATTCATTGCACCAATGAACCGAATGTCTCCATACCGCAGCTCGCTAATCTCCTGATAGAACGCTCACAGAATACAAACTGGACGGTAGTCTTTAAGGCCCTGATCACCGTGCATCACATGATGTGCTATGGCAACGAGGTAATTACTTTCGGGCGCTGGTCTGATCTGCGAGACGTTCCGTATATTCTTCTGAAATGACTTTTCTATTTACAGAGGTTCACGCAGTATCTTGCGTCCAGCAATAGCACGTTTCAACTCAACAATTTCCTCGACAAGAGCGGCGTACAAGGTGATTATTTTGTAAATGATCATATTAGCAAGACTTCGCGTTTTTCTCGGGATACCAAAATATGTTCCAGTATTGACAAACGCCAACGATACCAAGCATTATTCTTTACGATTATTCACACTGAGAGAAAAAATGGTCCTAATTACCATAATTTAACTAGAATTTACGGTCATTTTTGGTGCCTACTATATCTTATGGTAAAACTACAAACATAATTATTATTACTATACAATTATTAATGTTGGTGCGCTCAGCAGAAAAAGTAGCTTTGCAACTGCAGTAGGATTCTGTAATATAATTGGTTATATTTAGGGAAGAATTTTAAAGGCACTATTTATATTAACTATTTATATTAAAGGAACTATTTATATTAAAGATCTCACATAGTTGCAAAATTATTAAATTGAACTTTTCTACTGAACGCAACTAATATAACAATAATGATAACTATAAAAATGAATTTCTCAACCATATTTTATTATACAATTATAGTGACAATATCAAAAATTTTTCTCAGTGTGAATAATGTTACGTCATTTGTTGGCATCTCGTAAATTTAACTTATAAAAGAATAATTATCATTTTAAAACAAGATAAAGTTACAAACAAATATAAACATTTTATTAAAAATTTTAATTTTTTTACAAAGGATAATTATTCTTCAAACTCCGTAATGAAAACAAGGTGTCATATCTAAAAAAAAAAAAAACTAATCTTTTAACCAAATTTGGAAATGTGATTAATCTGGCAAGATTAATGTATTTATAACGTTATTTTGCATATTAACAAAATCATTGCGATATAAACTCATTGCAACACGATGTGCACGGCTTTCCGCACTCCCGCCTAAAAAAATTGTAGGCGACATTCAGTCATCAAAAGATTCGAGTGTCAATAATCGAGCGAGCTAATTTGATATGCACGCGTCGCACGGAAAATTGCAACACGCCGTAATTTGAATAGCCGATCGCGAATACCTCGATTCTACATCGAGAACTTGTTTACAGGAGACCTAATTTTATTCACTAATTGGAGATCGTTAAGCGTAATGTTAATTGAATGTTACATCAATCGATAGCAATTATTGAATTGTTTAAATAATGATTACAAATTGTTTAAACAATACGAAACGGTACTCCTCTGTTCCAATTACAAATCTTTTAAAAAGAGTTTCTATTAAAAAGTTTCTATTAATTTTTCCGCATTGCGTAGCTGTTATCCATATGGGAAATGCAAATCTTTCTCTTTTCCATGTATCTATGACATCTATGTGTACGATTTACTAACCTGGACTAACTTTCTATCTCTTTGGGCATGAAGCAGGAATACGCGTGGGTGAGTTCTAATCACAAATGTCCTTCTCATTTTAGTATTAATGGTACTCATTAACCATGCTTCGTAGTTCTATATATGTGTTCAAGTGGTCATGTGTTTGCGAGAATACAAGAAATTAATGTATATTTATGAACCTAACTGTTAATCTATGTATGTACCAATTGATGTGTATTGATAATTACAACTAAATACTATAAATATATGATTAGACTTACAAGATGTTTGACTAAATTATAATTTCCAATCGGCGCTTGCACGCTTGTGTAACTTTATGAAATTAATGCAATCGCACCGGCGCACTGCCGACTTTCTAATTTCACTTTTATGCATTGTGGCGATGCCTATTAGTGCTTTTGTTGTGTCTACGGCATTTATTTTGAATACAAATGAGTAATTATTGTTCTGTTCATCAGGATATGACATGTCGCCCTTCATCAGGCGCTATGCCAAGTATCTCAACGAGAAGGCTCTCTCCTATAGGACGGTAGCGTTCGACTTTTGCAAAGTGAAAAGAGGGTACGTATTGAGAACATTTTTTTCTAGACCTCTTGAAATTTTATCTCGCTGTATTTAACGAGAGAATTAATCTTCGTTGCGTAATTGACATTGCAGGAAAGAAGATGGCACTCTACGCACAATGAAACGCACTGCTGGAATTTGATTGCACGGCTAACGACCTCACGAATGGCGTCATAAACATGGCCTTCATGCTCCTCTTTCGAGATCTTATCCGGTTATTCGCCTGTTATAATGATGGCATCATTAATCTGTTAGGTAACGCTATTCAATATTCTCTTTTTTTTATCGCACAAGAAATGCATATTCAAAGACCCATGAGAATGGGTCAATTAATCGGACGATTACGGTAACCTTCCAGAGAAATATTTCGACATGAATAAGAAACAATGTCGGGATGCTTTAGATCTTTACAAGAAGTTCCTTATACGCATGGATAGGGTCGGAGAATTTCTGAAAGTTGCGGAAGTAAGTTACACGATCTGTATGTGAAAGCAATCAATGATGTAAAGATCAATGATTAAAGATAGTCATTGAACATGTTTCTTTTCTTTACAGAATGTTGGTATCGATAAAGGAGACATACCAGATCTGACGAAGGTATGTGTGCTTAAAGTTTATTATCTCGCTATCTCGCTATATTATTTAGAATAAAAGTTTGTTCAATTGTCTTTAATTACCGGTTTGAGGAATTATTAACAATGAGTGAGCGAAAAAAACTAATATTTAACCGATAAAATATGATAATATTTTCATTTGTTTCTTCCTCTTACATTACTGACAGGTAATAACATCTCTGATTATATTATTTTAATGAGGTAGAGAGTTAGTATGGCATAGTATAGAGCAGTATAGATAATTGGGCGATATTTATTTTGGGAGATTTTGTGCCAATTACACTGTAATTTTTTTTAGTTATGTTTTTTAATACGCGCGCATTAAAAAAAAATAGTATAATGAAGGTGACAAATTCTCCTAAATAAATGCATGTATTTTAGCGAAGAGAAATTTCTTTTAGACTAAATATGCACAGCTAAATTTTACTTTGCACTTAACTGAAAAACTTTAATAACATTCTATAAATAATGGACAAATGATTTTTTTAGGCACCAAGTAGTTTATTGGATGCCTTAGAACAACATCTCGCTTCCTTGGAAGGAAAGAAGGGCTCCGCCGCGAACACGCCAACGCAGTCAGCAAGGTATGCCAACTTTTTCCATTTATTCGACTCATTTAAGTCTCATATAACAATCGATGTAGGGATAATTTAAAATTTCCTATGTTGAATGCTATTGAAATCGATATACTTGATCTCCCTCTCTATATACTTCCCGAAAGTCCATCGTTTTCTCATTGTTCTTTCATATTTCCGATAATCAAAGACACGTTCTTCTACACATCTTTACAAGCTTCTTAAGCTATGAGTATTTAAATATTACGTTTATCGCACATGCACATGTAACAATTATGACACAGGATTACGTTCCTTTATTTCGAATACGATAAGTTGATCATTGATCATTTTATATTCATAAATCCGTCACTTTTATTTTTCTTAAACAAATGTTACAAAAGGTTTTGAAAGATAGTTTTTGGATATATTCTCTATTTGAATAGTTATCCAACTTGTAAAATTTGTCGAGATGGTATCCCCTGGAAGGTTATAATTTTTTCTGATATTTAATATTTAGTTATAGAATATTCAATTTACGTTTGTATCCTGACCTATTTTAGGTATCCATGCTATGCTCCTAAATTTGGTATTCAATTTTTATGTATATGTGTGTGTTTTTCACTGAAACTCTGTAAATATAATTATTGTGCTATCTAATCTCTATCGCTCTTGTATATTGCATGAATTTACGATAAAGTATTTAGATAATTGACGTGTTTCTCTATAGTCTATTGATTTTAGTGAATATCGAGCATGCTATAATAAATCGTCAATTGAAATTAATAATATTGATGATTTAATTTTATTGCCTAAAATTTAATAATGAATAATGTTAATTGATGTGGTATAATATTAAAATTATATAGTAAAATTTGTTGGATATGAAGTGGCATTATTGTAATAAATATTTAAGTCATCGAAGTACACAATCAGTGTTAAAATAATAATAACATTTCAATGCACATATATTTATCTGTACAAATCGCTTATTATCGTAGTAAATTCACCATACTTACTTAGTATGCTATTGAAAAATGAACAGTCTCTAAATTAATGTGTACTATGTAATACAATTTGTTTGAGTATACACAAGCTTGATGCCATGTTTCACTACAAAATTTAGAACACCTGTAAATGCATATATGTATATTAGGAAATTTAGTAAAAAAAAATGTAAAAGAAGAACGAATGAGTTTGAGAAAGGAAAAAGAGAAAGGATGCATGCGAGCGTGCGAGTGGTAATGCACACTATGCATTTTTACGCATTGTTACATCTATACGTACTACACCGTTTGTTTTTTGTTTTTTTGTTTGTCTCTTCTCCTTTGTTTTCAATTATCAATTTTCCTTTACGCTCCTTTCTCTCTCTCGCCACATTTTACGAACTCGCTGAAACGGACCTTCCGTATTCTTCTTGTCCGTCCTCTTTTCTCCATCCATCGACACCACAACATCCTATCATCGCCCAAAAGCAGCAATAGAACCAATGTAAAGTCGGGAGTGTCCGCCCTGTCTTCCACCAGTAACGCGTTCGGAACAGCAGCCAGTAATGCGCGGCTCGAGCAAACCGGGAATGGTCATATCGACGAGGCGTTGCGCCAGCAAGCTCTCGCGGAAGAGGAAGCCGCCATGAATCAATACAAGGTATTAGTTTGCGCAAAGTATTACTAATTAAAATGAGAAGCGAAGTTGTGACAAATGGAAAAAATTTAGATTTCGATGCTATTATCATTCTAACGTATTAATTTTCTATTTCAGAGATTTCATTTGTTTCATTTCAATTTCTTCTTTCATTGCGATTCCCTGCATATAAACGTTATACTAATTTCTAATGTATATGTTGCAGGCAAAAGTACAATCGCCGTCAGGTAGTAGCACAAATCCTTTCCTCAGTTCTCCAACTAATAATGCTAATAAACCGATTGTGGACTTATTTGGTGCAACATCTGAGAGCCAGGTACGTCTATGTCTTTCATTCGACAAGTAGTCTGTTCTTTTCAACTGAATTTTTTGCATTGTTCATCTTTCCACTTATTTTTTTCTACAATGGAGAGAAAAGAATGAAAAACGAATGATACAAGAAATTCAACCGAAAAGAACTAACTGATCTAAGATTCCATTTGAAGCGAGCTAATCAATTGTTATAACAACAGTCGTCTCAAAAGGCATCGGATGATCTACTGCAACTTGCGGGCAATCCGTTCGCGAACATGTTCGGGGCGCAACCACCTACAGGAACGACGCAACCCGCCGCTCAGATGCAGAACAACATGTGGATGACCAACGGTACTGGTGAGCACGAGTACTTAAAAATCGATATAGTCTCAGTGATCATCGCTGCTTCTCTCGTCACCGCGCTTGTTTATGATATTTTTCCCCCTTTTATTTTAATTCATTTTTTTTTATTTTTCCATTTTCTTTTTTTTCTTTTAGGTTTCGCGCCAACTGCGTCACCAGCAAATAATAACTTTGTTACAGATAATAGTTTTTCCTCCGTATTCGGAAATCAAGATCAGCAATCCAGTAAGTGCTTCACTAGCGAAGTAGATATAAGACGGGATTATATTATACGAGTGCATTCACATGATTGAAAAATTCCGTTTACTTTCATTTTCTTTTTCTCTGCCAGTCTTTATACATCTCTCTTCTTCTTTCTGTCATAGAACTTGCGGCCATTTTTATGATACTTTTGCATCATACATCTTATATATTTTTTAGATACTTAGTACGCCTGAGCAATCACACTTGCTGTTTAACGCTATGGGCAAAGATGTATCGGATGAAGCAGCGTTTATAAACAGCGTTTATAATTACAAAAACAGTTTTGTTGCCACACAATAATATTAATGGCCGTATTTAACAAAATGTTTATTTTGCAATTATTGGAAGTTGTCTTCGATTTTTGTTGTATTTTTAGATTCAAAGGAACAATCCTATCTTAGCGATGAAAACTTCAAATTATTGCAAAGTAAACATTCTCTTGAATACGGCCAATAATAATTTATTTTATTTTTCCATTTTTTTCTTTTAATATTGTGGCTACTAATAAGCGCTGGTTCTTCGATACATTCTCCAAGTGCAACGTTGACACGCGATATTATAAAAGAATGCAACCGAGCTACATTATCTTAACATTTTGTATTTGAATATTTCTTTTTTTTCTCTTTAATTAATATATTAATGGGCGACGATGTAACAATTGCAAAATATTTTACATTATTACTTCGTCCGGACGCAAAAGAGGAGGAAGCTAACTTATGCACCTTGATCACTTTCTGCGCAAGCTGGCGCCCCAGGAACGGCCGCGTCCGTACCTAATCCCTTCATGTCCGATTTCCCGTCCCTCGGTACCACCGGCGGCCAGCAGGCGACGAACGCAGGCGCCTTCGGGCTCTTCGATCAGAACGCCGGCGGCGTTGTTGGCGGTGAATCGGTGCAAGCAGCGCAGACGGGAACGGTAGCAGCCGGAGACCTTTTCAGTGCCGGTCAGACGGATCTCTTTGGGGGTGACGGGTCCGCCGCCGCGATGAGGATCCCCGCAAACGGCGGCGACGGGGATGCTGCCAGCGGCCCCGACCTCTTCTGCTGGCAAGAGCGCCTTCGATGATCTCAACGACAGTATCCGTATGGCACTGGGTGGGTCTCCGTCGCGACCGGCACCCATGGTTCAGCAACAGCAAGCTGCGATGGCCGTCCAACAGCAGCCGTTGCAACAACAAATGCCGCCGGCTGCGACGGCGGGGGCCGGTATGTTTGGCATGAATGACCCCGCGACCGGGCAATCCATGATGGCCGGTGCACCGATCGTCGGCTATGGTATCCCTACCCAAGCCCAAGTCCCCGTGGGGTACGGTTCGCCGGCAAAGCAGCCGATGTCAGGTGACGGGAATGCCTAAACTAATCCACGCCAATAGCATGATAATCGCACTCGCTGTACCCTGCCGACTTAAAGTCTTCCTTTATTTTTCATTTTTTCTCCTTTTGGCCTGATTACGTCGCGATGCATCCTAAACAACATGAAAGTCTACAAGATATCTAGAAAAACATACAGATTTTTAAAAGATAATCTTCAGATATCTGCGAGATGTCTCTTAGACTTTTGTGTTGCCCAGGAATTGCTTTTTCAATTTATATATATTGCCCGATCAGCAAGATGTATTAAGTACTTATATTGAGGCACGTTAGAGCATAATTCTGATTAATTTTAACGAGTAGATAGTTTTCACGAGTAGATAAGCATGCCTGTGTTATTTATAACATTCTAGACATCGCAAAAATTAATTAATTGAAAAAAAATAGACGATTACATCATTCTTTGCTTAAGTATACTCATAAAACACGATAATCTTTGATCGTTATTTTTTTTTCACGCATAATTCAATTTGTTTACAACAATTTGCATGTTTGTGACTTTAATTGTATATACATAATTCTGCGTTATTTTGTTTATTTAGAGAATTTACAGCACGCTGTTATAGAGATTTTAATAACAGTTTTGAATTCTTTGAGATTAAATCCCTTTATTTTATGTTAATCAGGAAATACACTTAGTAATTATGCTTAATTCTATAAATTTAAAAAATTTATTTAAACTTCGCGATTTATTTTAAATTTTAATTTTATATTCGTATCTTTGCTCGACGTTATAGATATTGCTTAGGAATTTTGACAATGTGATGCTAGTATATCTACGAGTACCTTGAATTTCATTTCATTTCAGCGGGGCAACCGGTCGGTGCAGCCAACACCGGCAAAGTCCTTACCGGAGATTTGGACAGCAGCTTAGCTAGCCTTGCGCAAAATTTGACCATCAATAAGAGCGCACAGCAGCAAGTCAAGTAAGTATGATCACATTTTTATTTATGAGCGATTTGATTTCCAGGGTTATGTAAATTTTAATATATTTATGAGGATGATATTAATAATAGATTTTTATAAATAATTCATAAAATGTTCCGAAGTTGAGTTTATGTAACATGTGAAGCGACGAATTGATAAATATTTTTTCCTTGCAGAGGAATGCAGTGGAATTCTCCGAAGAATGCTGCAAAAACGGGCGGTGGCGGCTACTACTGGTGCTGGATATCGGCCCATGGTGAGCCTTTCTATTTTAGTTTTGTTGTCGTAAAGTATCTTCAGCATGTTTCTTCTGATTGTCAATACACCAAAATACACACGTACACACCCACTATTTTTTATGCATTATTTTCAAAGAACAATCGCTCCCACAATAAAACTTGATTATTCTCATTCAGAATTGTAGATTATTACTTTGTTTATTCCTTACGGTATGGTTTCAATTTTACGTCGTAGGAATCTTACGCGGACTAGTAAATTAATTTAGCTTGTTAGCAATCTGCTAAGTACATAGCATTTTGGTACCTTCAGCTAGACATGTTAAGATGTAAGTTTATCATTAAGCCATCTCGTCCGCCGTGGGACTCTTCTGCTCTCTTCGTAATATCGTAACGACAATTTTCTCGTCAATTAGCACCGTTTAGGTGAGTGCGTTTTGCATGCACAGCATATGGCATGTTATTGACTATGTTGCAGGGCCAAGGAATGACGCAACTGCTACCTACGAGCACCACGACTATAGGTTTCCCCTCACAACCAGCGATGATGGTAAGTCCCACGATCGCGAATGTCTTTGTTTCACATGCAGCGAACGAGATGTTTAACTTAATAAAGTGCCAAACTCATCTCGCCTCATCGGATCACGAATTTCTGTATACAAGAATAAGCATATGATAACACGAATTGTCACTAACTTACTTTGTCCATAATGACAATCGTTGTACAAATCGTATAACGATCTTTATTTCACGTGGCAAAGCGACGAATCGTCGGAAGATGATAATCCGATTCGACACCTCATTTCGTTTCCTCGCATTATATGCTTATGCATCAATATGTACTTTTAGCGCACGTTTCAAGAATGTAGTAGATAGTATTTTATCGCAGTTATTTATATTCCTATAGATTGATTTTCAGATTTATTTCCCCCTATACTTGGCTGTAATTTGCTTGCGGTGTTAATCTCTAATGTAGATAACATAGATAAGTTTTAGGATTATACAAAGCGCGGTCGTGTATAAATATTTATTACACCGATGTACAGGTAACATATATTAGAATAGATTAAGCTACACTATATTTCCTGTGAGAAAAACGTCGCAAATATAAAAAGAGAATTGAGGAAGAGATTGGTCTTGTTTGAAAAAAAAAAAAGTATTTATAATATTTATTTTATCTTATAGATTATGTACTTGTGATGACATTTCTTTTAAAACTAATGTAGTTGCTATTGTTTTCAGAGTAATCTATAAAATAAAACAAGAAGAACTCTAAAAAGGAAACCGTCGGAACCATCTCTCACTGATTTTAATAGATTTTGGATATATTCTAAATTCTAAAGCATCAAAAGCATTAAATTTATATTTTCTCTCTCTCTCTCTCTCTCTCTCTCTCTCTCTCTCTGTTTATATGAAGGGTTGAAACAATCTCTATAAGTAAGAATAAATTAAAAAATTTGACATTTTCAAAAAATGTGAATATGCAATTATATTAAGAGCATAAAATATCATAAAACTTTGGACGAAACAATTTTTATATCTCTCAGTTTTAAAGATATTTGCTATGAAAAAAAATCCATTATTTTCAAGAGATTATTTTAAATCTTAAGATAAACAGATAAAAAATATGGGTTTAATATTTTTTGATGCTTTACAACACATATAAACCTTATCAAAATTAGTGAAGAACAATTTCGACGTTTTCCTTCTAAGTATTTTTCTCTTTTCCAGCTATTGCTTGCAATTGTTTACATAATGTAAAAATAATGATCGATCGGACTAATCGTTATTTTGACATTAAGGAAGACGTTAACTTTCGCAGGCACACGCTTCCTTTTGTACATACGTCTCATTTCTCTCGCTCTCTGGTGTCTGTAGGGTATGCAAGGTATGCCGATGGGCATGCAGGGTATGCAGGGTATGCAAGGTATGAGGCCGATGATGTGTACTATCCCAGGTGCTTCCGCCGCCGGTGGCGGTATGATGGTTGCGGGAGGAGCTGCGCCCATGATGGCCATGCCCGGCGCGAATCCTATGATGGCCGGTCCTAATTTGCAGCAACAACAACCTCAACCTACTGCAGCAACTCAGCCACAGGGCAATGCTGTCCAACTCGATCCTTTTGGTGCTCTGTGAAGGGATTAGGTACCTACCTTCACTTATCATTCTGTATGTCGTGTCGTTGCTAAAGATGTCGTGGCGTAATAATAGAATGATCTGTGATAAGGAACGCGTGCCGACTAAGGATAACACGACAATCTGTAACTTTGACGGTTAATCAAAACTGAATTTCCTTCCTCGCATTTTATCGAGGAATCTCGAGAATAACTTAGTACCTATATAATTTTATTAAATTCTATTTAGGCGAAAATTGGATCTGTGTTGGTGCAATTTTGTGTAATTATATATTTTACTTCTTAAATTTGAACTCATGTATTTTTGTACAAGTCTTATATTTCTTTTTAAACAGTTTGAATAGGTGTCGCTCTTATGCTGGGGATTAATGTACAATAATCTTTGTAACTTATATATTTGTGATTAATAACAGGTGTCTTGTAACACTCAACTCTTCAAGATTTCCGAATTGTTAACCTTAAAGATAATCTATAATTCGAAACAAAATTTAAAAAATTCTTTAATTTATGTGTTGAATTTATTATAATATTATTATTTTTACATTATATACACATATTCAGTGAATACGTTTTCTAAAGTAAATTATTAAATTTCATAGTATGCATTTTTGTATAAAGTAAAACGTGATATAATTTTTATTTTGATAAATGTTTTATTAAATTATATAAATATAAATCTTATATCTAATTCTATTTTAAATTATGGATTGTCTAAAATGGACTTTACAATGAACGAAATTTGATTGCTTCGTGTTACTAATAATGCACACGTTTACCTTTCCTCTATCATTACGCAGTATTATCATCAATCGACGCAAAGAAAAGGAAAACATTCCAAGATAAATCCTTTCCCTGTAAATATCGATTATTAATGACTAAAAAAAAAATAGATTAAGTTATTATTAAGTTAAATAATTTTTTATTTAACTTGATATTTTTATACTAAAGCAGATTATAAATGACTGTTTCAGGATTCCAAATGGAATTAAGAAGAACGAAGCAACATTTTGTAAATACCATGTAATATGCCTAGAAAGAAAAGAAACAAAGCTAATGTATCCCGCTTTTTTCTGTTAGGCCCAATCAATCTTGAATCATTGATTGTCATTCGAATCGTCTCATTATAAATAGGAGTCAGTAAATTGTATTATACTTCCTGTAATATGCTCGCCGAATATGCAACACGTGTTATTCCGATATAGCGTCTTTCCCACGAGCATTAGCAAAAGTTAAATGTTGTTTAAGTGAATATCTGTCTACTTTTTTATGCAAAAAAAAGGGGACAAATTGAGTCTGAATTGCGCGTAGACAGGGCGCTTTTCTCCGCCTTGAAGTCCCGTAGCCGGGCATAATTATGTAGCTTAGATGAGAGTTGTTCGGAACGCGAATTGCGTTTAGAATGACACGAACGTGCGTTGAATTTTCCTGGTGAGGATTAACTGTGATAGTACTGCGCCGTGTGTCGCGCTGAACAGTTTTTCTTCGTTGACACGTCGAGTAAGCCTATTATCGAAGAGATGCATTTTCTAAGTTCGATGAAAGATTTCCGTAATTACGTAGCGATATTTAGATACGACTTAGTTTTTACATTGGGGGAGAGAGAGATTGTATATCCGATAGAGAGATCAGTAAGAACGCATTATCGAATATGGTGAAAATACTTGGTTCGTTATGGTTCTAAACGTATTCGCGTTAGATTACATACACGTAGTTGACGATTGCATATACCAATGTCCGCGTTAAACGTTAAAGGCGCAAGACCGAAAAAAATCGAAATAAAAATCGCATCGGGCATATCCTCTTTTATTGTAATATAGTATATATATATATATATGTATGTATATATATATATATAT